TGGAGACGTCAATTGACATTATATTTGAATAGTTGGAGATTATAGCTATCAGGGAAAAAGGAAAAGGAAAGGGAGTTCCACAGGCAAGAAGTGTGAGTCATGAAGCTATTGGAGTAGAAGAGATGGCTACATTTAATAGTTTTGACAGTGAAAGGATGAGAGCGAGATGCCAGCCTAGTTGAATGCTTAAATTCATGAAGTCTGGGAACCAGCGAATGCAGCTCATCGGAGCAGTTACTGTGAAAGTATTTGCGACGACACATCTGTGATAGAGCGAATGCAGACGAGATGCCAGATCAAAGCCAATTACGTTGCATATCCATCTCTAGATTTTATTAAGGACCTTGAGACAAACAGAAGGGGCTCCAGACCATATATGGCAGCAGTACTCCATCCAAGAGAGAAAAGTTGATTTGTAGATTTGAAGGATTGGCTCCGGCGAGGAAAATTTCCTGGCACGGCACAGGGAACCAACTTTCCTTGCAGTAGACGAAGCTATTGACTCAATGGATTTGTTACATCTCAGGTCAGCAGTCGATGTGAGACCAAGCAGTCGCAAAGAGGTGCTCTTGTAGATTTGAGTGTCAGACATTCTAATGGGTGGCAGGGATGGTTCTTTGTGGCGAGTAATAGAGAACAGTTTTTTTTTGAGGCATTAAAGTTAACCAGCCAATTCCTACCCCAGTCCACAACCGATTTTTAAACAATTTGACAAAGTTATACTGACAGCAAAAATTTAAGTTTAAACTTTTTAACACAAGCAGTAAGAAAATTTTATTGACAGCAGTTTGTACTAATAGCAAACAGAAATTGTCCGTACAATGTTAGTATTATGAATGACAGGCCAAATCTTGGTCTTGTGACAATTTCAATATTCATTTTCTGTGATATTTATTTTATTTCAATACACGCACAACCAAGCATTGACCCAAAACATAAAAATATAAAAAATACTTAAACTCTATAAATGGATTATTGATGTATAAAAATGTTTAAACAGATTAGTCATTCTCTTTCTTACCAACAGAGGCAAAAATTGCTTGATAGACTTTTCCATGTTCATCAAACTCCTTCAAATGCACATTAGAGAAACCTTTTTTAATGAGAGCTTCCATGTAAAGAGGTACATCAGCCTTGCCATACTTTAAGAATCCTTGCTTTACAGATTTCTTTACACTGGCCTGATTCAAGGTAGTGACCATCAGGGACTCTGGTTTCATCACCCGATATATTTCTTGGGCACTTTTGTTAAAATCAGGCCAAAAGTAAAAACAGTTACAATGGAAGACACGATCAAAGGTGTTATCTTCAAATGGGATTTCCATGATGCTTCCAAGACAAAGCTCAACTTTTCCAGAATCAATGGCAGTTTTCAAACGATTTCCTGCTACTTCATGCATGTAAGGTGATAAATCCAGACCCCACAACTTTCCAGGACCATCTGAAAATGATAAAATTAAATTAGCATAATCCATATATATAAAAAATGATATGTGTTTTCTCATGTATGCATTTCTTTTCTGGTGGTGTTATATAAATGGTATTTTCAGTTATTTTAAACTTGACATATAAAATACCATAATTTACCTTCAATATTCAAGAAGTAACCTAAGCAAGAAAAAGGTAAAGCAACATATACTTATAGATATTTTATAAACCCTTTTGTTTGCCTACATAAACTAATAAACTCTCTTACTGTGCTGAAGTTTGTGTCTGTATGTTTGAACACTATGGCTAAACAAAAAGGTTGCTGAAACAACTTGAGATGAAGCATTTTCATAATTATTTTAATCAATATCAAACTTTAGACTTTTTAACAACTCAAATAAAAAGCATGAAATGAAATTAGAAATTAAATAAAAGCAACCTTTAAAATTATTTGGTAGTAAAATCATCAGAGAATAACAAGTGACAAAATAATTAACAATTGTGTTTCACTTCAGGCACAGAAACCTCAGTGATTAAGTTATGCAGGCAATATCCATGAAAGACAGTCTCCAAAGACAGATGATGCAAGTTCAAGTCTTGCTGAAGGCTATTTCTTTATTTTCTAATTTTGCTGTTTCCCATAATGTTTATTATATGTATAATGTAAATATGTTGCTAATGATTTTACTATAGAAATGCATTGAAAATCAAGAGGAAAGTAAATGTTAGTGAACAGAAATTAAGACAACCATTGCTGACAGAATAGGAATATGACAAGTATTAATATTGATATAAAACTTACCTTTTATTTGTTTATAGGCAGCCTCAAGTCCGACTCCAGGACCAAATCCAAGCTCCAAAATTTGATGATTTGGTTTCAAGTCACACAATTTAACTGCATTAATTTCAAGAAATGAATTTCTTTTTACTAATAATTTCTGAAAATATAAATTAATGACTATCATAATGTTGAAAATGAAATATTGTATTTGCTGGTCTATAGGATGCATGGTTTACAATGGTATTTGACGGACTGCTACTCACTGCCACTCATCCAGACCCCACAGTTTTTGTAGACAGCGTTCTAATCATTGGACAAAGTAATATTTGCAAATCTTTAAACTCAATTTAAAAGTAGCAAATTAAAGATAAACTATTTTATTAATAGCATTTAATAGAGTTATCTCCCTTGAATCTTATTCATGGTGAGAAACTGGTACATTTCCATAAAGAAAATTATTTGTAAATAAGAGAAACTACTCAAAACAGCATTTAACTGACCTGGAGTTATCTTTCTTGGGAATTTGAATGTATTATAATAGAGTTTATTTGGATGAGCATGAATGATGATGCCTCACTATTATTTTCAAACTAGAACAGAAATTGCTTTATTTTTCAACTGAAATCATTTTGTTACTATTGTGCTAACAAAAATCTGCTATGATTTGCCATTTTTAGATTGTTGCAGTAACAAATGCACAAATATATGGAAATTGCACCATTATATAGTTCACTTTCATACTAATATTCTTGTGAAAGTCATGACTTAATTCCCCCACCAGCTATGGGTTAAATAGCTGGATAAACTGGGCTGTCTAAACTTGAATGACCACCACTCTAAAATGATGACTACTTTATATTCAAAACTTTGAAGAAAGTAACAGAAAAATCCTGCTCTCTCTTTCCAAAGAAGTCATGGCATTTTACAGATAATAAAAGAGAAGAGCTGTGATAACTTGAAGGAACATGACATTTGAAAAAAAGAACACATGGAAGGCATCATTATCATTAGTTTATCCAAAGATTAGTAATCTTGTTTCTTTTTTTTCTCTATTTCAATGTTGATATGATTTTCTTTTCAGCTTTTATAACAAACACATAAACATACAAAAATTGAATCATTATCATTGGGTGGTGAATGTGAGTGAAGATCCATCACTATTATTATTAAGTTGAAAACTGAAATGGAAATTGATTTATTCACCAAGTTGGAGCATTTTAATGGAATTGTGCTAAGAAAACTCTTGCTAAGACGTGCCATTTTTGCTATGTTATAGTAACAAACCCTAACAGACAAACATCAGAACAGACTAATATAAATGTATATCTTAGAAGCCAATAAATATGGTCATTATGTGAAAGCCATAAAAATAAAAAAGTTTCTCATTGGAAAAGGAGTTTCAAGTAAGAAAAAAAAATTACTCACACTAGTCAACCAACCAAAAAATCCCTTCCGAGGTAATTTCAGATTTTGAGCAATTTTTTCCATGGCTATATTTCTGGGAAAAAAAGTAATAATGTTTTTTTCTATATGCATTGATGTGTATTTTAATAATTTCTTTTATATAAAAAGTAAATGAAACATTTTTTAAACAGGAAATTTAAAGATAAAATGAAAAGATTTGAAAATATGTATAGAGTTGGCCCAAAAGTTTGTTTTGATTGAATAAAATTTTTTTTAATGAATATTAACTTTATTGAACAACATATTTACAAACAACCTTATTTTTCAGCCAACTTCAGAATTTCATCTTCTAAGAACTTTTTTCTTTTATCTTTCTCAGCAAAGACACCTTTTGCAGTCCTCTGGAGAATTGGAATTTTCTTCATTAAGAGATTTACTGCTTTATGAAGAGAATCTTTGATAAATCTAAAAGTCAAATGATAAAACACAATTGTCAATAAAAACAAGTTAAAATAATTAAAAACTAAACTTCATCTCACAAAACAAATTAAAAGCACACACATACAAGAGATAGATAGTAGGTTAACTTAAGTTGTGCTGGTTGAACTTCAAGAAATAATGCAATTCACCCTTGCACAGAGACCATTAGAATCAAGAAATGAAAGAAATCCTAAATCTCTAAGTGAAAGGACAAACCTGCCACATTTAAAATTTTGAACCTGTTGTATGTACAGACAATACTATTATCAATAAGGTGGTGGTCAATCACTGAAACTGAAAACTTCAAATCTACAAATGTGTCAACATTTTTGGTTGACATGACCAGCCATTCCTGATCCAAACTGAGACATGTTGCTACATCCTACATTCCAATCTTAACAAGGTGCATCCAATTTAACCAAATTCACACTGGCATATAAACGTGTATATGACTACTTTTATTAAAAAGAACACTATCCTTATTAGACACGGGTGGATTAACCAAAAAAACAGATTTTTTCAGTTTCATCTTCATACCATGAAACCGCATCAAAAATTTTTACAAAACTGAAATAATTTGGTTTTGTTAAGTAAGTGCTATCACTACTGAGTGACCATATCCAAAGAAACACTATTGAAAAAAACTTTTAGATGTTAATAAAATTAAATATTATATACCATTGTAAGAGAAAAAGTTGAACAAAAATATGTTAAAACCATTTAATTGACTAGTTTTAGGAAATAAATGTGAAAACTATATGTTTACAAAAGAAATAAAGAAGAAAGAAAAAAGAAATATAGCTGCAAGAGTGAGCTGGAAGCTGCAGGAGTGCTGGAAGCTGCAGGAGTGAGCTGGCGTCTCAGAGGGAAGGCAGTAGCAGAGAGTGAAGTAAGTAGAAGTAAGAATTCAAACAGTCCAAAAGGGGTTGTGACTGCTGTCTTTGGGATGTCCTCCGGAGCAACTGGAACTTGGTAGTAGGTCGATTTTTGAGAAAATGCGGGCCCCCTGTAGACCTGAGGCAAAGTCGTGGATGTGCGGAACAGGATACCGGTCAGGTACTGTGGATGCATTGAGTTTCCGGTAATCCACGCAGATCCTGAAATCCCCGTCGGATTTGGGTACCAGATGCAGTGGTGAAGCATATGGGCTGTCTGAGGGTCGGATGATATTGTCGGCCAGCAACTCCTCAAACGCTTTCTTGGCATATGCTAGTTTGTGTGGAGGGAGTCGTCGTGGCCGTGAATATGCTGGTTGTCCGGTGGTCTTTATATGGTGTTGGGTCTGATGGTCGCCTGCATCAGTTGGTTTGATGGGTTGCGTGAGGTGCTTGTACCGGCGCAGGATTTCTATGTAGCGTGGGTCGTGCTGTGTTGCCACGCTGATCCTAGTTGTGTTGAAACTCGAAGGGATCCCTGTGATCTTGATGGATGTTGTGTTGTCGGACAGGGTCCTCGTCTTCATATGGACAGCCAGGTTGTAATGTGCCAAGAAGTCGGCACCGAGCAAGGGTATACTGACGTCAGCTACGGTGAATGACCACTTGAAGTCGCGCCTGAGGTTGATATTCAAGGTAAGTTCCTTGTTCCCATAGGTTTCTATGGTGGAGCCGTTTGCCGCTCGAAGTTGGAATGGGGTGGGTTTCAAGGTGGATCTGTTGGTGGGTGGTATCACGCTGATGGCTGCGCCAGTGTCAACTAGGAATTTGAGGCCATTGTTACGGTCCCACACGTAAAAGAGACGACTGTGTGAGCGAGTACCGACAGGGATCGTCGTCGCTGCCTGTCGGTCTATTCATTTTCCCTGGGTCTTATTGCGTCTGCAGGGAGGGTGGCACTTGCGGGCTTGGTCACCGAAGGTTTGGTGGTACCAACATTCGTCTGCGCTATTTCTTCGTCCTGGACTTGAGCTGCGGGTACGGCTTCGATTTCGTGTTGCTGGGCTTCGCTGCCTCCGGCATAGGGAAAGTTTCAGGTCTCTCAACTCTGCGCGTAGCTGGGTCATCTCCTCTTCGAGGTGTTGTGTGTGGTTTCCGTGGCTTTCAACCTGGTGAACGTTTTGGTGAGCCTGGGAGTATATTTTGTCGGCTGAGTCGGCCACAACGTCAAGGGGCGTCTCTACTGGTACCAGGGCTAGGACTTGCGCTATATTCGGTGGTAACCGATCCATCCATAGCCCTCGGAGAATAGGTTTTGCCATGGTGTTGTTCCCGAGGCAGCTTTTCATCAGGCAGAGGAGCTGGGATGGTGTTCTATCGCCGAGAGACACATTAGAGAATAGGTCTCTGATGAGGTCTTTGTCCAAACGTCCAGTTCATTTCAGGATGGCTTCTTTGAGGCAGGTGTATGGGAGTTGGTCCGGAGTATTGAGAAGGATGTCTTCCACTTCTTCAACAATTGATGCTGGTAAGGCTTGTACCACGGAGGCGTACTTAGTGTCCTGTCGTGTGACCTTTCGGGCTGAAAATATCGCCTCAAGTAGAATAAACCAACTTCTGGTGTTGATCGAGTTGTATGGCAGTAGTTGGATCAGGGCGGCTGATGTGTTGATTTCTGGTTGTTCTCTGCTAGCCGTTTACCTGTGTCTATTGATCACGTCGGGGTCACCACTTGTTGCAGCGGGCCGAGAGGCAAGGAGATGGCAATAGCAAAGAAGGATGACAAACGCAGATGGTCCCTTGTAGATGATAGAAATTGTGTCTTTATTTGTGAACAGTGGGTGGAAAGACGACAGAGGTCGTTTGTTCGGGAATGGTATCTGGAGGTTGGAACTGGTCGCTGGACGTCAGTGAAGCGCTGCAGGAGTGAGCCGGAGATTGCTGGAAGCTGCAGGAGTGAGCTGGAAACTGCGGGAAGCTGCAGGAGTGAGCTGGAAGCTGCAGGAGTGCTGGAAGCTGCAGGAGTGAGCTGGCGTCTCAGAGGGAAGGCAGTAGCAGAGAGTGAAGTGAGTGGAGCCTCGAAGAGTGGTGATCGAATGACTTTCAGAAGTTAGCCCTGAAAAGGACTGTTTGAACAAATGCTGCTGCTGATGCTGGGTCCCGTCAGCTGCTGGGCTCGGTCGACTTGACTGGGCGCGTCAAAGTCGCGATTCAGGAAGGCTCCCTGCTCCCTGGCCGGCGGTATTTACTTAACTCCCAGGGGGTCAAGATGTGACACAAGGTCGTTTTTCGTGGGAAACCCGAGCGTTTCCGCATAGGGTCACTGGTCAAAGATTGGTCATAACATGTCCAAGCTGGTCAAAGCTTAGTCAAGTTCTGGTCCAAGTTAGTCTTAGCTTGTCTTAGCAGGTCCTGATATGGTCCAAACTAGACTTTGCCATGGTTGCAACCCAGCCCGAAGGCCGGGCTGCTTCCGTCGCCGGCTAAAATCCGCTGCGAAGTCTCGGGCATCTAGATATGACGGTTCATACAAGAGAAGCGGTGACGCTAAACAAGTAAATATATATAATTAATTTCGGGCCGTATTAATTACAGTGTTCGGTGTTTGTTGACTGTATTCAAATTAATTTCGGTTCGAAATTAAAGGTCTTTTATTTTTGTTTAGTGGCGAAAATTGAGTTTTGTGTGTTTCTGTCAGTTTGAAAGGATGTCATTGCTATTTTTAGCACACAAGGGTCGTGACCTTTCTCTACCAGCAGGCATATTTAAGAAAAGATGGGAGTGGTGATTGGACACACTGCGACAATATTAAGAATAATTAAAATAGTTCTTAATTTCACTTTTAAAATGTGTATATTTCCAGATATGCATATCTGTAGACTTTAGTGTAAAATTGTTTCTTTTCTGCAAATATATTTTAAAAATGCAAGTCATCTTTTTTTAAACCTAAAGTAAAAATTCTTTTTTAGCCACTAGTATTCAGTGGGCATTCTGCCTATAAAATTCTTCTAAACAAGGAAAATTAATTCATTTTATTTTTACAAATATCTTTATGGTTTTCTAGCAAACACACTTAAGATTATATTAAAATTATTAAAATTAATTTCATTTTTAAAATGTGTATCTAAAAATTTAAAAAAGAATAGGTGGTACTCACAGATTTGGAAATATACACATTCTAAAAATTAAATTAAAAGCTTTGAATTATTTTTAATATTGAATTTTAGGTGTATTTGCTAGGTAAAAAAAAACATTTATTCAGGCCCTAAATAAATGTTTTTAATCCCTAAATTTTAGGGGAAAAAATAATTCATTGATCTTCTTTCTTTAGAAGAAATTTATTTACAAAACCTCAATAACAGTTGACTGGCTATCAGAAAAAAGAATAGCTGTATTTTTTTAATTATTTTAAACATGAAGGGTTTCATTTTTTGATCTTTTAAAGCAAATTATTATGAGCATTTCTGAATATAAATTCTTTGACTTTAAATAAAATAATTAATCGCTTAAAAACAAGTGTCTGTCAGTGTCAGACAGTAGTTTCAAAAATTTTAAAGTTCCCTTTTTACCACAGATTTAATACTATCAGATGGTATTTTTTTTTTTTTTCGCTTACTTTATAATTTGAAGGAATTTGCTTCCACAGGTTAGAGAAGAAATGAACATCTTCCTGGTTTAAGGCGTCTTCTAATTGAGTGTACAATTTCAAGAATATTGATAAAGATTGGTCTCTTTGATTTCGCAAAATAAAGTAATGTTTAAAATTTATTAGTCTTGAAAAAAATCATATTTCACATTTTTGGCTGTTCAAAGCAAAATACTGTTTCAACTCGCTGTAAGAAAAATAATTCAATGATTCACATACAAATTACATATTTAGAAAGATTATTTTATTTTCTTTCCAGCAATATAAATACAGTGTAACCCGGATATAAGAGAGTTGTTGGGACCGGAGAAGAAGTCTCTTATATCCGGGTTTCTCTTATATCAGGGTTTGGTCTATTTTGTTTAGGTAACACAGGCTCTAATTTGGGACCAGAGAAAATCTCTCTTATATCCGGGTCTCTTATATCCGGGTTACACTGTATTCTTAAGATTGGTCCAGAAATACATGAGAAATTGCGAGTTGAACAGACTAAGTTGCAAATTTATCAATCTCAAACAAAATCAGATACCGACTGGAAATGCTATTGTAGAGGTCACTAGGACCTGATATATTTATATTAATGCAAAATACCACAAAATATGAAACCATAAAGAAGAAACATTCAACAAGAAAAGATGCATAAGTAAATGGAATTTATATTCGCATAACAACAATTGTACAGTACAGTAATTCAGTTGTGCTTGAAATGCTGAAATTTACTTGTGCTTGGAATTTTGAGTGAGGAAAATGTTCTTGTTGATAAACTGTGATGTGTATTAAAAAGTCTGTGAGTTTGGAGAACTTTAATAAGATATATTGTTACTTGTAAGAGAATTAAACAGTTTTTTACTCACAATGTTAAGTATTTCTGTAGTTGAAAGTTCAGTGTTTAAATATAGCAGAAGTTATTTACCTTTAACTGCTAGTTGAATTGTTTTGCTTAATGCTTTCAAAGAAACTTGTTAAGTAAGAGGAAATTAGCATAAATATATTGAAGTATCTTGCTGCTTAAATTCGTTCACCTAGGTACCTTGAAAAAATTTGCTAAAAAAGAGCATAGCATGATGAAAGAGGGCCATAAACTTGAAAATAATTTTTTACTGTCTCAATGTTTATGTTATTATCAAGAGGAAAGACAAAAGTATTTTGGGGGTATTTTTTAATCATTCCTAGTACATCCAAAATTTTATTAAAAATCTTGTTTTTTTTTATTCAGCAAAATTGACAGAAAACTGATCATGTCAACCATTTTTTTCCATTTTGTAAACAAAAATGAAAATCTCCATTTAAAATTCTTTTAAAAATCAATTGTAATTTTTTCAAAATTTATTTTAAGAAAATTAGAAATTATAAAGTTTATTTAAAATATTTTGAAACAAACATTACTTGCTTTCTGCACCAAAAAAATGTAGTTTAAAAATAAGACAAAGCATGTCTTAACAATGGTGTTGATTGACAAGTGATGATTTCATCACATATTGACAGCTTACATGAAGGAAAGACAGAAGTAACACAATTATTTAGATTTAAGTAAACCAATTATATACCTCATTATTTTTAAGGAAAACTTTCAATGTTCTAATTTTTTTTTTGTACTTAGTTTTCACCTTTATGTTTACGATGCTTTATGAAAAATATATTATTAAAAAAAAATTAAAATAAGACTGTTGAGAGTGAGATACAATTTCATAAGAAAGGTATCTAACTAATTTATAGATACCTTTCTTATGAAATTTTATCAGAAGTGTACATAAAATACTATAATTTTATGTACATTTATTATATTTTACTGTGTTATTTGTATTTCCATTCATTTTATTATTAATTTTGATATTTCATTTATGGGAAAATGTCATAACTGAGATAATATAAAAATAAGATCATATAAATTTCATAAGATAGGTACCTAATAGTTGTAGGTACCCTTCTCAGTTGAAATTGAAAATTAAATTAACTTTTCTATGCATGTTTTGCACGAACAATTCGCAAAAATAATGGCCATAACAAAGGGCAACTATGCTTATAATAAATCAAATAATGTGACGTTTTATAGTTTTCATGTATGGTCTTCTGTATATTTGAATTACAGCTGTTTTATGGACACAAAAGCCATGCAAAATTAGATTTTAATACACTGGTGGTCTGTTGATTGTAATAAGCTTTACAATTTATAATCTGTAAAGATAGATCAACTTAATAATTACTCACTGGTAAAAATTGATAAGAGTTGATAGTTGTATTCTCTCAGACAGCATGCGGTTTGCTGATGAAAATCTGTCAGAAGTTGATAAGTTTCTGTGTCCTTGTAGTTGAAGGAGTGAATAGATGTGTGTGCATATGTATGTATGTGTGTGTGTATCATGACGTTTCGTAGTGTCTTCCTCAAAGGGAAATAACGCAATTTCTCCACAGAGCTTACATCGCTTGGGTCTGAGAAGACATTAAAAGAAGAAGAGTTGAAGATGTCACTAAGTATTTATTTTATAATGTTGTATGTCACATGATAGGCTTTTTCACTTGTTTAATAAATTTCACCCATAAATATCACAGGCTACATAAGTGAATAATTATTAATATGGAGTAAATTTGAAATCTATTTTTATCAGGACAAACTAACATTGTCAATATATAAGTAAAAGAAAACAAAACATTAATAATTGTACAACTCATTCTATTTTAATCTACTTGTAAAATATTTTGAAGAATAATTGTAATTTGACAATCCCGGGCATTTTCCTTTCAAATTCTTTGATTAATAAAGATATCCAATAATTTTGACACAGAGAAACTCATTATCAAATAAACAATCTGTGTTATTTCTGTTCTTAAATTGATGAGAATGGCATTTTTAGACCTTCTACTGGAAAGTAAATCAAATAGATTTGTTTTATATACAATGTTCGTTATATTCCCAACCTGATATTGTAATTAAATTCTTTAACAAATTCACTCAAGTAGTAATAATCCGTTTCAGCAGTATCTTTTGAAATTTACCTCTTTTAAATGTTGATAAAAAGGTGACATCAGCAGGTCTATTCAAACAGGGGAAATTTATAAATCCTCTATCTATTGCTGTAACTTGCACGGAGAATCAAACTTCATAACTTCATTTGTAACAAATTCACTAAGTTCCTTTATTCATGACACAGTTTGACAAATAATCTGATTTGTTTTCTTTCACTTGACACATGTTGCTTTTTTTAGCTAATATAATTATGAAGACTGAAAAGGGATAAAATTAAGTAAGAAGGTGGGTAACATATGTAAAAAAATAAAAAATAATTGAATTCATTTTTGAATAAGTTCTAAAAATTTTATTAAAAGCCAACAATTATTTGATTTTTGCAAGAATTTCCAAATTAATATATTTATTACCGCAACAAAATGTCTAATCTTTGCTGTTCCCACTGGCGCAAGAAAAACAAGATTTTTGAGTAAAATTTCGAACGTATTG